ACCATTTCGATTTCCAGTTTTATGTTTAAGAACATATGTAAACATTATTTATAGCCGGTATTAGTTAAATTGATCTTTTACCAATTATATAAAATAATATATTCCAGACTTATACGTAGATGGCACTGGTGTTTTTAGATGTTTCGACGGACGTTTGAAATTACGTTTTATATTTCATTTGAGTGTGTACCATTTATGTCGATTGTAGATCGATATTAGAATTGAAGAACGCATAACGATAAAATTTTGTGTGCCTCTTGGTCATGGAGATATCACACACTAAACACTTGACCTCTGCGAGAGTGGTCATCTTTTTTCTTTTTTTTTCAGAGCAATATCCATAACCAGAAGGTGCTAGATGGAGGAATAAAAGTATATTAGGGTGTATTTGAATGTAACCATGCATTATATGCTGTTTTGAGCTCAAAACATACATATTTGAGCTAATTCAAGCATATATATATATATATTATGCCATTAGTAGAGGACAACTGGAATCCAGAAAAACTATACTGATAAATACATAAAATATGCAGTAAACCTTGTCACGCACACTGTAGGAAATATATCACATTCTATACGCTACAATGTAATAATATAATTGATCGTTTTGGGTAATATATTAGGAACGTTTCATTAGCATTAGGGGGTTTTGCTTTCAATCAAATTTGTTTGTTATGAATTTCGCGCAAAGCTACACGAGAGCTATCTGCGCTAGCCGTCCTTAATTTAGCAGTGAGAGACTAAAGGGAAGGCAGCTAGTCATCACCACCCACCGCCAACTGTTGGGCTACTCTTTTACCAACGAATAGTGGGATTGACCGTTACATTATAACACCCCCACGGCTGAAAGGGCGAGCATTTTTGGTGGGACGGGGGTTCGAACCCGCGACCTTTAGACTGCGAGCAGAATGCCCTACCCACATGGCCATGCCGGGCCATCAAGTGCTGTTTCTGAAATTCTAAGGTTTCTTCCATAAAGCGGTCAAATAGAGCATTCTTGTATATTTTGGCCACACCTTGACGTCTAACCCTTGTTCTAAAAATCAGCGGTTATTACTAGTACAAGCTCAATTTCACAGTACAGCACTTCCGAGTTTGATGCACTGTTACTAGCCCTTATTTCATCATGTGCTATATTGAACTGTTCATAACGTTGTTGCCCTGTGCTATCCTGACAGTAGATAATTGGTGGAATTATGTGCCTCTAATTGTGAGAGCATCTGTTATGCTCAAAGTTCGTGGGACTTATCAGCCACACCACGATCTAAAAACTCTTTGGTTCCCTCTTTATAAAGAGCAATATTTTTCACCCCACACTGAGCAACATATCTTGGATACCTAAAGCATCCAAGTGTAAACTCGCTTGTATCTTCAAAATTAGAAATATTATAATATAAACCAAACCCATCTCCCTTCTTGATACAACATGAGGGAGCTGGTAACATGTATATAAACGTTAATAGCCCTGTGGTTTCCATATTCCTTATAATTTGTTACACTTAACTGGTATTCATTCTTTAAGTTGCTAATACATTTTTGACCAAAATACATACATATATAAACAAAAAAAGAAAAAAGACTGATGACGTAAATCGTTGTTATTATTATTACTATTTTTACGTTTGTGCAAGGAATGTTAACAATAAGTTATTTCCAATCAAAGATTGATATTAGAATATAATTTTCCTTGATTTAAATACATTATATATATATTAAAGCGCATTTAATTACATTTTCGAAGTTCAATAAACATGGCGTTTAGGAAACTGACAAACGGACTATTTGTTTCTTCTATCTTTCTCTCTCTCTTTTTTATTATTATTTTTTTCACACAGATTCGTAGACTACGTCCTTGTGTTAACTCTGGATTATCATGGGCCTTGGGAACGCAAAACTGGCCATTACGCGCCACTTTATTGTCATACGGAACACACACTTCTCGATCGACGTCTGTGTGTGGTGAGTATGTACAATAAACTCATAATGTACCGTATAACAACGTTAAATATTTTGTGTGGTGAGTATGTACAATAAACTCATAATGTACCGTATAACAACGTTAAAGATTTTGTGTGGTGAGTATGTACAATAAACTCATGATGTACCGTATAACAACGTTAAATATTTTGTGTGGTGAGTATGTACAATAAACTCAT